TCACGTCAAACCCTCCAATCACCATTTGTACTTGCTTTTTTTGATCTTTTTGTTGTGTTGCTCTTGCTTCTTTTTGCCTACGATAACATGTGCGTTCGATTTCTAAATCAGCTAGAAGCAATTCACAGTCTAGCAACCTTCGCATACAAGATCTAAAAGAAAAATAATAGTAGCACTCAGATAACTAAGATGAAATGAAATAAATAAATAAAATGTTTGAATTACTGTCGAGGTAAATAAAATCAAACTAAACTCTATCTCTTGCAACGGCGCCAAAAACTTGTTCACGAACATATATTTCGAATTAAAATCACCGCAAGTGTACAGTTCGTTAACAAGTAATAAAGTGAATTTTGAGTCCAAGTATCGTTCCACGAAGATTGGTTAGTTCAATTCTCATTACCTTAACCGAAACTAGAATAAAGTAATGTTTTGTTGTGATGAAATTATAACTAAAATAATGCTAAGTATGTGGGTAAAAATGATTTAACTAAATTAAATGCAAACATCGTTAAATGTAAGTTGGAGGTTTGAATTTACGATGAATGTACCAGGATCACGAATCCCTATGTAATAATTCTTTTTAAACTCAATTCTACAATTTGACAATATGGTGAAATATTGACGAATCAATGTTCCTAAATGATTCAACACTCTCTCTCGAGTAATGTCAAACATATTCTCATATATGACCCGACTATATCTCTATGACGAATACGAACATACAAAAATGCATGAGTTTTTATGAACACTTAAAGATTCACACAATGCATTGTGGTATATTTCTATTCCTTATCGAACCCTATGACAATTTATATATGTCGAGCATATTCCCCTTCTTTCGAATGCATGAAATAAGCCACCACACACACAATTACGTGCACAATAATTATGGAGAAAATAAGATCATATAAATCATTCAAATATCCAAAACGTGTTTTTATTGTCAAGAATGTAAAACTAAAAAATAAAAATCATATTACATAATTCATCATTCTCCTAACACAAATAAATCTAGCCTAGCATATTATGAAGAAGAAAACACAAAATATATTGAAGAATCGACATCACCCAGTATGATTCTTGAATTCATTCTCGTGTTCTTGGCTTCGATCTTCGTGTTCTTCCTTGTTCTCTGCTCCAAAAGCTCTTCCAAATATGTTGTAATGTGTCCTCCTTACTTTTGGATGGCCCTAGGATTTTAAAAGACATCCTAAGATTCGTTTCCATAAAAATTGTAATCAAATTAGGAAATTATAAAATTTTCGCCGATTTGACCCGGCGGACGCCCAGTAGAAAATAGGGCGACAACCCAGGCATAAAATTTTCATCCTATTGTTGAGGTTTAGGGTTGAGCATATAACTAGGTGGCTGCCCAGTTATAAAAATTTCGGTAATTTTCCTTTCAACCATTTTCTTCATTCTTTCTTCTATCTTGATCCTCCACATCAAAGTACTTCAATTTTTAGTGCTCCAATTTTTACTCAAATGTATATTAGTCCCCATATATTGGTTTTTTATTCTTTCACATCTTCGTTTCTTCTCCCGGTCATCTTTTGACTATTTGCACTTTGGTCCCCGAACTGTGGCTTCTTTCCATTTTAGTTCTTTTTCCGCTTCTTTTTTCTAAATTCATCAATGTTATCCAACAAAACATAATTTATATAGAATTAAGCCATATTTTGATATATTTACTAACAATTTCCCATATTTTGTGCCATAAATAAGTGTGTAAAATGCACTTATCAAATCCCCCAAGTGAAACAATTGTTAACTTGTGTGTATTCTAGAATGGTTCCATGATCTTCGTAACAAGAATATTTTCTCCTTTAAAGAGTCCAACACTTGATACAATAATGCATAAATATATGTAATGCAGCCTAACTTTTTGTTAAAGTTAAATCATGCACGAATATAATGAAATAAATACTCAACATATAAGGGTTTAGGATACTCTTTTAACAAAGTTGATCGTTTAAGATGGAATTTCAAATCTTATGTCATCATAGAACATTAAGCTACATCGAACAATTCGATCCTAATAAGAGTAATTAATTTTCCTTGTTGGTGTTAAATTAGTAATTACACGAAGACCGTCATCTTATCTAGTCACCTGGTAGGGCCATGGCACATGAGTTGCGGAGACCATCTTATCTTCTCACTCTCACTGTCACACATCATATTCTCATGTTGGCTCACGTGAAGTTCTCGAATCTGAGTCTCAATTTTTGCACGGTCGCGTGGCCAACAAAAAAATCCCAGCCACTTGCCATTCACATAAGCGTCACCGACGCACTAGAACACACAATTAGGATGCAAAGACTGTCGATCGAGAAAAAAGTCTGACGATCATTTATACTCCAACGATCAAGTCAATTTCCAAACGAGAGATAATGAGTGCAAGAAACGGGAGTGGAAGTTTGACTAGAGTTAGAATGTCATACATTTTGTGAAATGGACTCTCTCTCTCTCTCTCTCTCTCTCTCTCTCTCTCTCACTCACACACACAGAGAGAAATGAAAATGGGCCAAGTGGGTTTAGTGAGATGTGCCGAAGTTCAAGCCCAGGACAAGGCTACACAATGTTGCTTAATTTAATAGGCTCAATTTAAATGAATAATCGATGCCGAGTTAACCAATGTGGAACTCCCTCCATCATGCGCATACCACGTAATTTATAGATATAACAAAAACTCATGTAAACTTTCATGAAGCAAAAAATTCTTATTGTGTAGCACTAAACACAACTTAAAGAGGGAAAACGCACAAAATTTAAGTGCGTGTACCATCGCCTTTTGCACTACTTATGACTTAGGTTCCTATTATTAGCATTATAAACGATGTTTAATATGAACACATAACTCTGCACACACGATGCAAGAATACTTGTACATAACATCCTAGGTGAAACAGTTAGCAGTCATATGTTGTTTTACTTATCACTGTTGGTGCAAATTTTTCATACAAGTAATCCTAATGGAAGAGCACACTAAGACAGTGACTAGGCACAAGAGACAGGACCCCTTCTTGTTTTACACGAGCTCAACTAAATATGATGAAAATCAGACACTAATAACGAAAGGGTTTAAGACAATGGAGGTCAATAAACTTCGACCGTTGGTCAACTTGAACTTTCCTACGATTTGGACAGTTTAAAAGCCACGTTAAGACATATTTTGTCACTCCTTTGTGTTTCCCCCGGGAATTTTTGGGCATGATAAAAGCTAAGCTGTCGATGGATGTTTATTCATAAAATCATCACAGAAGACTCCTGAAATTATATACTATTAAAGCCACATAGAGACATAGAATCAATTCACAAAAGTTATTGTCTAAAGTCATCATTTTCATGTCCTCTGCACACAGTATCAACCTCAAAAAGAATCTAGAAATCAGAGTTGCAACGGGGAGAAATATTTCTTTTTTTCAAATGGATCAGATGAGCCAACAGTCGGAGACCCTGAAATCTCCCTCTTGGGATTGCCAGAACGCTTGTTGTGGAGGGGAAGCTCTGGGTTTTCTTCAAATTTCCTTCTTGGGGAGGAGAGAGTTTGCCTCTGCATTTTAGAGAAAGTTAGAAAGGAATTCTAGAGAGAGAAGTTTGATTTTAGCTGAAGCCTTTTGAGTGTCTCTTTTGTATGTTAGTTAAATCTGTTAACATTAGACTGGAATGCTTTCTTGAATTATCTGCTTATTTTCTCGAACACAATTTTGCTTTCCACTATTTTTTCCCCTTTTATTTTTCAATTTGTTACAATTCTCTGTTTACTTAGCCCAAGTTTGATTTTGATAAAAATCAAGTTTTCAGTAGATTTTAATAAAAGTTAATGAAATGTGTAATTGAAAAGTTGATAACAGTTGTGGGCCTCGTTAAATGTGTCGTTTAAAATGAATTTGAGAAATGTGACTTTTAAGAAATGAGGGCCAGGGGCTTAATGTTTCCATTTTGCTAGGACTAGCAAAAGTATTGGAAATTGAATTTTCAAAATCTAGCTTGCAATGCTTAATAGAGACGACAATGCTATGAAAATCTTAAAAGAAAATCGAAAATATGAAAGCAGTATAATTTAGTTTTATAAATCAGTACAGTACACCAAGGATAAACCAGATGCAATAATGTATCAAGCATCTTCAACTGTATTTCTATCAATGGCCAACAACTTGTACAGCACCCTTTTTTTTATTTTCACTTTGTTCTTTGAATCAAGGAATGTTACATACATTACCTCGCATTCACATTTACATAGAAAGAGGGTGGCCGGGGAGGACAAGCGATCTAATCCTATGTAGCAGCAAGCGCCAGTTATCAAGGGAGGGAAAACTGATAACCGGGAAGACAGCAAACTTCTTAAATGAGATCTCTAGCTTGGGGAGATTTCTGTTCACCATCTGGTTTCACTCTACTAGGATCATATGTCTGGGACGCAAGGAAATTCAGTGCTGAAACGACATCTGCAATGAGGGGCCGCATGTGGGGTTCCTCCTGCACACACATTGCAGCAATTGCAAGAGCCTGGAATAAGCCTCTCACGGGATATTGACCTTCCAGTGCCGGATCAGCCATTTTGTAGAATTTTTTCCGGTCCTTGAACGATGGTCGAGCCTGGAAAACAAATAAATGGATTGTTTCAAAGTGATCAGTTTCAGAGGTAATAGACTACAGTTGAGAATAAGATGTTAACAATGGCCGTACAATCAGGCTTCTTAAGAACTTCTTACTCCCCCATCAACGTTTAGGTACGTAATCAATCACTTTGCTATTTTAAATCAAAGATGATAGTTGAATCCAATGATCGCAAAGACCTACTTAAGCATAAAGCCATGCATGTACAGAAATGTAAAATGTGTCCACTCAGATGACGTATTATCCAACTGCTTCGTGGACTACATGAAGTCATAGAAAAATAGGTAGTCGACACTGATATTCGACTATTTGGTTACTCGAGAAATCTTTTAAAGGCCCAATAAAATGTTATGCATCAGTTGAAAGTCCTCTATGTTAAACAATGGCCATTACACATTTTGACAACTTGTGGGTCTATGACTTGGGGGAATTGCATATACCTGTCCACTTTTGATAACTCCATACCTCCTACGACTCTATCCCGAAGAATAACTAGGACTCGTAATTTTGAAGCTATCCGTTTGTAGCTCAACCAAGCAATCAATATCAGAGACATTATTCACTTATTCCCTATAGACAAGATTACAACCAGCAAGAAATAGAAAGACTAAGAAAAGAAGGAAAATGGAAAGTTGATCGACCACAAAAGAATAGCCCTGATTGAATACTTTACATGTGGCCCTGCGTTCAAATCAACTATGGCTACTACATAGATAGAACCATTTTGGATGGCCTAAAATGCAATGCCCTTTGAAGTACCACAACAGAAAGTTGACTCAAAAGTTAACATTAATTTCTTCGGCAATGAGCCTTTACACTATTCATCCTAGATATCAGAATACACGATTTCCATTTAATAAGCAATCAGAATATACAGAACAAAAATAACCTTCAAGAATAGAGAATAAAATATAACTCACCCATGCAACGAGATTTTGCTCTGCACCAGTTTTTCGATTGTCAATAGCTTTCCTTCCCGTAATGATCTCCAGAAGAACAACACCAAAACTGTAAATGTCGGACTTGAAAGTCAGTTGGCCAGTCATTGCATATTCAGGTGCACAATATCCATATGTGCCCATCACTCTGGTGGAGACATGTGTCTGATCTCCAGATGGACCCACTTTCGCCAATCCAAAATCAGATAGTTTGGGATGATATCCTTCCCCGAGCAAAATGTTGGAGCATTTCAGATCACGATATATAACCGGTGGTTTCATCTTATCATGCAAATACTCCAAGCCTTTTGCAGCACCAGCTGCTATCCTCATTCTAGTATTCCAATCGAGTCGTTTTGTATTTGGACGATGGTCTGTCCAGAATAAAAGCAAAGCAAGCAAACAGACTAAGTTTTAATAGAATGCAGGAAAGAGAAGTAAACAAGAACAATTTTCGAGTGTAACGGAGTATAGAACAAAATTCATGCCCGAGAGATACCGTGCAAATGGTACTCCAATGAACCTAGTGGCATGAACTCATATACCAACAGCCTCTGATCTCCTTCAGCACAATAACCAATCAATTTAACAAGATTAGGATGTTCGGCCATATTCAATGTCAAAACTTCTACAACAAACTCCCGAATGCCCTGGCATCCATTGCGATCAAGTTGCTTTATAGCTACAATCTACATAAAAGCAACAACAAAGTTCAAGTCTTCAGCCACAAAATTGTAAATCAAACATCTCATTCTGATCCGTAAACAGTATTCAGAGTCATTACTGAAATTAAACAATTAAATGAATGTAACTGACCTCGTTTGTCTCCTGCAACTGACCTTTATAAACTTTTCCAAAACCGCCCTCACCCAAAAAGTTTTCTGCCTTGAAACTCTGCGTCGCAGCCAGCAATTCAGCATACATAAAGGTTCGTGCTTTGACACTATGGGTCTCTCCATCGCTAGAAGGGCTCTTACTCGCATCCACCTCCTTTTCCACGGCACGTTGGTTTAGGACCTCAGTCTCTTCCTTCGCACCTTTACGCGTGCTCAGTCGCAACGCATCTGATCAGAAATATAAAAGTGATTGCCCATTGTAACAATAAAGATAAAACATAAAGAGCACTTTTCTATGCATACCCGACATTACAATAGACAAGATTTTAGCTTCTTTTTCTTGTATTTTACTGCACATCACTAATCATATCCACTAACACCATTTTTGCCAAAACTTGTGATAAAAACTCAATAAAAACACAAAATAAAACATCTTAAGTTTTTGCGTTTCGTGTAAGATCAAGTCAAAACAACAATGAAACAGGAAAATAATACATGCATGAAAATATTAAATCCCTCACAGCCATTGGTACAGCTGCACATGCATATCAACAAAACCTATACAATCGTGAAAATTAAATTTAAAAAAAAAAAAAAAA